TGCGATACCTGTTCTTTTCTTTCTTTCGATCATTTTGTTTTCTTTTTCCGAGTGGTTTGTATCCTATTTTTGTTTTTTGTTTTCTCGCGGCGTCGTATGTGCCGGGTTTTGAGACCACGGGCTCCCCATTTTTTGTGGACTATAGAGCTAATGTGAGAAACAACAACAACAACAACAAACACGTGCTTGGCAGGGACACAAGAACTTGAGCGGTCTCAGATGTGAGATGTGATCGTCTTAGGAGAACCTCGCGTCCGTGGGTCATGTGCTCAGTTCGCGGTACCAGCAAATGCTACAGCAGTAGTCCACCGCCGCACATGTACCACTACACTGTAATGCTGCACATATGATACAGATGTCAACATACAGCAGTAGTTGAGAGTTGCTCGACAACCCAGCACGTCCAGAAAGTAAGCATGAAAATACTTCAACAATGCAGCAGCAGGCAGCCGCAGAGCAGCAGCAGGAATGATGGTGGCACCCTGTCTGTGCCGCAGTGATTCGCTCTGCACAGGTCAACCCCCAGTACCACCGCCAGCAGTGCCGATTCAATATGCATCATACACCTTGACTATCTACACGCCAGCAGCGGTCGTACCGCATACCGCTAGGCGAACTCGACAGACTGGGGGTGGGGGGGTATTTTTGGGCAGGGCGAGGCGGAACACAGAAAGAACGACTTCGCAAGGTTTTCTGGGTGTCCACTGTTGTGACAGCTGTGTTAAAACGGCCCTGACAACAGTGATGATGGCGAAAGGCCAAAGAGTGCACCAGCAGTAGTTCATGACTTTTATTGTCAGGTTTCGGGAGGTTATCACCTGATTCACTCAACCTCCGGGGGTATTCGTGTTGAGCAGGCACAATTGTTTGCTACGTAGTTCTCATTTCATGATGATATTATCATCACCTCATGTTTTGCCATTGCTTGTTCACGGAAGAATATTGCACACGTGCATGTCAGTCACTGATATGGTCAGAGGAGTAAGTGATCACAATCAAGATGAGTATGCAAATGATATTCAACATTGGTGACGACCAAATTCCATATCGGACTCCGACACCGATATGCTGTACATGGTAAATTTGTTGGCGTGCGGATCTTGTTGATGCGAATCCGCGATGATGGTTGATTTTGGATCCAAGCCTCATGGTTGATGTAATTCCCGCACAACATATGCTGGTCATTTGAGAGATTAGACGATCAGACAGCAGTCGTCGGAGCGAAGGTTCTTTGTGGGCAGACATTACTTGCGGGTGAATAAATGACGGGTGCGACTATTCAGCGGTGAAATCCAAGCCCGGTCTTGGTATTCTCACCTGAACTGCCAGAAACGGTACTCTGCGGTAGTCTTGGTCAATCAGCGTGGGGCCTCGGGGTCAAATCCGAGTCAGCTTGCCAGTTATACCACACAACCTCTGCGGTCTGTTGTAATGAGAGTGAGACACTCGGTCGTCAGCGAATTTTTTGAACATGGGCACATTTATAAGCAGAGGAGCTCAGTTTGAGACATCCCAAAGTCGCGAGGGTTTTGTGTTGTTCGGGAATGGTCGCTACTACGTGGTTATACTGGAGGAACAAAAGAGGCCCACATCATGTGATGGCCGGCACTGTCGACTAGAGGAAGCAGTACATCCCCCACTCCGAACGTCGTCACCATTCCGATACTGTCATTCATGCGACTCGACAGACAGGTGGTACATTCTGTATCTAAACGAGCGTGGACAATAACTAAAATCCGGTGTTGGTTGTGCAATCGCCACACAATATATGTATCTCAACCAACACAATCTTGACGCGTGCCCACTCACTCTTCTTGGCGCTCGCAGGTGCCGCTCTTGCTCAAGGTCTGATCAATGATGATTAGCTTAAGCTCTTCCGTGGGGCTGGGCCTGATGCTGGCGGCCACCCGCTCCGCACCGTGAGTGGATATCCCGGTTGACAAAAGCATCGTTTTACTGCGTTGGGGGGTTTGACGGTATGGCCCGACCATGGCCGAGGGCCATGACCTAACCCAACAATGCCACCCGCCGCTGAGTTGGATACTAGAGTTGACATCGAGGGTGCCTGACGTTGGTTGTCTATGACACATTCGCCTAAATATTCTCCCCCCCCCCCCATTAATTCATACGCAGCTGTCATCCGTACGCAAGGAAGTAAGCACAAGATGCCGAAAACCCTTAGCAGGATGCAGCGCACCCTTCATGCGACTCGCCGAATATCTCACGNAACGGATGGGTTATTGCTCATCGCTCTCGGCCACCACGATTCTTCTGCGCATGTACCACTGCCCAGCCATGCGCGGTCGACTCCAAGGTAAGGTTTAAGATACGCATATTTCTTTTCGTAGCTTTGGTTATCTTTCTGCGCAGCTTTGGTTGTAAGGGTCTCAGTCACCTGGCGAGAGTTCAATAAATGTGCAGCCAGCCGACCGTGATCCGGCGTTTTCCAACAACACAAGAACATGAGGTAGCTCGCGGAGAAGACAAGATGCCGAGTGGAGACTGTGGAGTTTCCTTCGCGTTGGTAGTGACAGTGCAGAGTTGTCCTTGAAGAAACATGACTGAACATACAGGAACATTGATAAGGTATTTGATTATCATTTTGTACTTCCCATCATTTTTTGCACCATTCCNACATTGATAAGGTATTTGATTATCATTTTGTACTTCCCATCATTTTTTGCACCATTCCT